CATTGCTTTGTAACCCACAGAAACTGTTACACCACTAAGAGATGAGAGATGTTAAGGTTAATGGAGAGAGAAGTGGAGCTCAGAGCCATTCAGCTTAATCTAGCCTTTGCACACCACAGATGAGACATGAACACATCACACAGAGAAGTTTACATGGTGACTTCACCTGCACAACTGTGGATCTTCAATATTTTGTCCCCCTTTCAGTGACAAACTAAAACATTACTCATCTACCATTACTGTTACTTGCTGATTTATTTTATTCTGAGGGTAATATTCTATCCTTATGACACTACTGCCCCAAATTGGCTTTAGTAGGTAGAGGACAATGGATCACCATCTTTATTGTGTAATGTGTTAAGCATTATATGCTGGTAGAATCTAGTCTAATTGTTTCAGGCGGAAAGTATTCTTTTTGAGTTTCCATTTTGAATGTGTTTAGACTAAAACAATAAAGTACTCATGTCTGCAAAAAAATATACTATTCGTTGCCCAGAGAGAGATACATACATGCTGTATTATTAAACAAAAGCCGGGTAGATGTTGGAACCCAAAGACTATACAGTAAATGTACAGCTGACAGATTCATAAAGACAGACCCACAAGTGTACAACTTATGGGGTACCCGTTTTGCAGAGCTGTGGGAACACTTGTCTTTTGGGAAAGTCACTGTCACATCTGCAAAAACCTTGCGAAGCCATGACTCTTCCCTTCAAAATGGAATTCATTCCCAGAACACCTCAGCAGTGGAATGACCTCGCTCCATTCCCCCACACCAGGAGGCCTTACCCTAACAGACCACATATGAATGTCTATAGAAGACAAGCACTAAGCAGGAAGGCAGCACGCTCCACCTTCACTAACAAACAAATCTGGGTGTCCCCAAAGCTGGTGATCACAAAAGAGATTGGATGAGGAGAATGAGTTCAGGATTCAGGGATGCTTAGTAACGTTATCTAATGGTTTCTGATGTCAGGTATTTCCCCTTGAATGCTGGCTCTTTCCTGGGTAGGGTCACCTGTACTAGAGCACTACTACTGCTTTGTCAGTTTCTACCTGCGCTTTATTTGATTTTGATATGCATGTTACCATTGTCTTCGCCTATGGAATTTTCTGACTATGTCTGTAAAAACCAAGAACCTCGTGGAGATCAGCCCTTATTCTTCTTCTCCTCTTCTCCTAGCTACTTCTTCTTCTGCTGTGTCTCTTCACTTCACTCCCCACCCCCACACAAAATAAAGAACATGCAGAGGTAATGTACTTGAGTTTTTTTTTTTTACCCTCAGATCCTTGCCTGCCATAGACATCTATTCTGAGTCCTGAGGGGGTACTGAGGCTGGTACATTGCTTTTGCCATGTTTGGCATGTCCTTGTGATTCTTATTAATGAAGGAACTCTGGCCAGCCCAAGCATGGCAAACATGACTCTGGCAGGCTTTGCCCTTCTCCTGTATTCCCTCTGCTTTGCTAAACCATTACATTACAGTCCTAAAGCTAGCCATCAAGGTCTATTTCCATTTGGCTATCTCCTCCTCCTAAGGTTTACTACCAAGGTCCAGCTATCCAAGTACTTAAATCCAGCAATCAAAAGCCCCGTGTGGTTACCCCAATTAATATACCCATCCTAACACAGGGTTTCCCCTTGTACTTCTATTTTCCTACGGGCAGCGTCTTTCTCCTCTATCCAGAGGTAGTCCTTTATCATCCTCTCTACCCCTACAAATACCCCTTCCCCTTTGTCCTCTATCTCTTGTCTTTGCCTCTAATTCCCTGCCCTTTGTCCTTCTGGGGCAAATAAATCTTTGTGCTGAGAACTTGGTCTTGGGGTGCCCCGAGCCAATAATAGTCTCTTTCACTTTATCTTCAGAGTATAAATTGCCTGGTGCTCTGAATAAAGTTGGCTACTTCATGAAACTTCAGTTCACCTCATTTTTAGGTCCCGCTCTCCCAGACTCACGAATCCAACTACCCTTATACTTACCTTTCTCCAAATGTTTTATTCTAGTCTAAACTATTTAGAAATAGGCCTATCATTTGTTCTTTTTCTTTAAATTGGTCTCACTAACAAACCTGGCTCTATGTCCTTACGTGGCTTTGCTTTAGCTACTTTTCTTAACACTATGAAACAAAGTTTGCTATGTGTGAAAACTGACTGCTATACAGTTCTGTGTAAATCAACAGGATAATAAATAACATGTTTTTATTAAGACTAGAAAAAAACAGAACTAGTCAATTAAAAGTGACACTTTTGGGGTGATCTGAAGCAACAGTAAATAATAAAAAGGAAAGAAGGGTTATATTAAACTAAAAATTGGGGGAAAACATAACATTTTATTTGACAAAATTAGTTTGGATCTAGGAATTGAATCAACATCATTGAATTATAGGAAAGAAATTCTAAAGACCACAACTAAGTACTTCTTCCCAATAAGAAAATTAGTCAAGTGTGGAACTTGGCTCTCTCTTTTTACCATATGGGTCCCAAAGATCACATGGGTTATTAGATTAGGCAGCAAATGCCCTTGCTTGCAAGCTACCTTACTGGCCCAGTACTTTTTTCTCTAGGGGGAGAGTACAGCTGTGATCCCCAATAGCACAAATTTGCAGCAGAGTTTTCGGCATTTGAGGAAATCACAGGTGTCCATATATCTGGAGTGCCACAGAGAAGCCTCATCTTGCGAAAATCACCTTTGTAATCATGGTAACTCTGTTGCCCCGGAAGTATAAATCTTACACTTTAATTATGTACACTGAGATACTAGAAACCATGACAGTAAAATCTGACAACATAAAAAATCAAAACCATCCTTAACTACTATTCAAAATTTGTTTCTTGAACATAGCTTAGGAAGCGCTGTGAGGATGGGGGAGAAAGGAGCAGTGGTCAGCTTCTTTTTTAAATGTTTCCCACACTAGGCTTATGGACATACCATCATCTGAAGCCATCTACTGCTAAAAACACAAACCGAAACATCAGTGATTTAGACCTAAAGTTAAAGACTGGGCAACATATCTGAGAAAGTATGAAGTTAGCCACCAATAATTAAAAGAATGGTGGTGTACCACGTTACTCTGGGAATGAGATTACCAGAGAGCACTTAAGTTTAAAAACAGATATGTTTACACATACCTAAGGTACTAAGTACATATACCATACCTTTGAGAGACCAGTCAATGGTGGCATGTCTATCGACCAAGACCTCTATACGTGCAGCCATATGGGCCACTATGATAAACGCTCCCATAAATGCGTGATAATGAGTCAACAGAATGGACAGTAGAAAGTAGGAGGTTCGGGAAGGTGGAGAGCAAGAGTGGAAGGACAATGAAGGTGACAGG